TTTGAGCTTGGCTACATTATTTTGTATCCTATAAAGCCTTTTTTTCTTATTGTAATACTTAGAATTATTGATGTAACTATGGAATATTGGATCACTATTTGGTCGAATTAATGCAGGTCGATCCAAAATTATTTTAACCGATTTAAGAAAAAAATAATTTGAAAAGTTCATAATAGCAAATTACTGTAAAATAGATTTGAGCTCCTAATTTTCGAGAATATAACTAGTAGCGTGCGAGCTGAACCAAATTAAACTCTATTTTTTTTTTTAAGAAAATAAATACATAAATAAATAGACATCTTCTTGTTTAAAACCAGTATTTCAACAGATGCAAAAACAAATAAATCGTTATTTTTATTTGGTATTAAGAAATGGATAATCACGAATAACATAGAAAAACATGTATAACTTTCCTTCTCACTTCATGGCTAAAGTCGTACGTACGTACGGAAATTCATGAAGTTAATTGATGGTGTTTTAATTTTAATAGTTTATAACCAATTTGTTTGAACAGGGAAAGTATTAGGTACGGGTAACGGAAGGTTTCGTATTCATTTGTTTGCTACGTTTGAAGGCTACTTTTAAATTTTGAAACAATCACAAATGCTTATCACAAATTCTCAATCAAAAGAGAACCTCCAAGATTTACGATTGTGATAGAAGATGGGAAAATATATTTTTATTTCTTAACTTATTTCCTTTTTTTTTGTTCTTTCTTTTCAATAGACTATAGAGTCCTTGCATTAATAAGCAAATAAGTAAAGTTTCTTTTCAATTTGCTCAAATTATGAGAAAATATTTAAACATTTTTAAGTGACATTCGTAAAATTTGTTGATTTTGCTCGTGTCCTACGATATTAATATATATCAACCAAGATTCATATAGTATCTCCAAAACGACATTCAGATAGATTTATAATATATAGTCTCCAATTGTAAAAGTTTAATTCTTTAGTGACTAATTAAGAAAATCCTTTTTCTCGAGAATAAGTCATTTATTCCTTATAAATAGATTCGAGTTTGGTGTCTAAACTCTCTCAAATACATTATGTTGATTATACTGACTTGAACGTAAAAGTATTTACGTTAAGTATTTTTGAAAGGTATGTAACTGTTAGGTGATTTGACATACGAATAAAAATAATAATAATAATAATAATAAGAAGAAGAAGAAGAAGAAGAAGAAGAATGCGAAGAAATATGTACAATCATGATAAAATATTTAGCAATATAATATACAAAAGTTGATAANTGATATAGTTAAGTAATCATATGTCCTTTTATTAAGATGGTGTGTAAAAGCAAAAACACAACGGGCCGCTTAAGTTTGTTTGTTGTGGCAAGTCTCAGTCAATAAATGATGATTTCATTATTTTGCCAAAGTGTTTCAAAGCAACATTTATAGAAGCTTGTTTTTATACTCTCTGACCAAATGACGACTTTCAGTTGCTTTACTTATTTATTTATTTATTTTTAATTTATTACTCAAAGACCGATAGTTGCAAGATTAAAATTGGTCTTAATTTTAGTAAAAATAGACTTTGATTGTTCTTACATATTTTTTTACAGCTAAAATCAGACAGTCAAAATTGGCATCTAACATTTGTGTTCATATGTTTACACACACATATAAGAAGTTCTCCCCCAGTTAATTACAGTTAATTACATTTTTCCTAAAGCATTACATATCTGCTTACGTTCATCATATATGATGCAGTTCTATCAGCTTACATAAATTCAAATGTCAATTGCAAAATATCAATATAGTTTCACAATTACAGTGTTTTACCCATAATCTCATCATATACAATGCAGTTCTATCAGCTTACATAAATTCAAATGTCAATTGCAAAAATTCAATATAGTTTCACAATTACAGTGTTTTACAAGTAATCTCGTGCAGTTGATCAATAGTAATTTCAGAACTTTTGAAAATGACCAAAATAAAAGATAATATTCGTCGAAATTCCACGTGTGTCACCAAAATAAAATAAAAGATAATATTCGCATCCAAGTATTTTTTCAAATTTTTCAAAAGTAATTTTGACAGAAACTGGGGGAAAACGGGTGCGGTCCTATTAACATGAAGCGCACCAAAAACGGGGAAAACTCATATGAAGCCCAAATGGGGTTCCATCCCAAAATCAATTGGTGGAAAGATGAGAGACCCACTATACTTATAAGGTGGGTCTATTTCCCATGTATGGACGATGTGGAACAAGTCACAAGTGATATTCTAACAAACCTCATTAAAACCCAATTAATCAATAGAAGTAAAAAGTTCCGTAAGTTTTAAATTTAACAATTTTTCAGTCTTTTATTTAAGGATCACCGAAGTTCAAATCCAAATTAAGAAAATTGAGGTCTTAGACTCTTAGGCTATGTTTGGTAGACAAATAAGCTAGCTTATAGCTTATTTAGTTAGCTTATAAGCTCCTTGTATTTAAATAAGTCTCGTTTTGTAGGACAAGCTTTTTTAAAAAGCTCAAGCTTATGTGATAAGCTTCTTTAGGTAACTTTTCAAATAAAGCTAGTTGAATTTTTTATTACAGCTAGCTTATCAGCTAATTTATCAAACACTTTTATCATATAAGTTAGCTTTTCAGCTATAAGTCATAAGTTATAAGCTATAAGCTCAAAAATTACTGATAAGCTATAAGCTAGCTTATCAGCTAGTTTACCAAACATAGCCTTAGTCACAATTTAAATAAACTAGTTTTTTTTTTCACTTCCTTTTATTATATATTTGGCAATGTATTCTCTAATATATTTGATCAATCTATAAAATTATTTTGATTCAAATGCTAGGATAACATAGGAAACGTTACCCACAATTCAACTTGTTTAATTTTCCTAATCTCCCAATCAAAACTTAACCACATATGTAATGTAAACCCTCAAATTTACTCTAATTAGTGGAACTAAGCAAAACATTCTACAATATATATATTATATTGCACGCGTTTATAGATAAATGTCACTTTAAGTTGTTTTTTTTTATTATTATTATTATTATTATTATTTATCATTCGAAACTTCTTCTAGCTATATAGTATAATTATTTAAAGAATAAATAAATGAAGAATAAGAGATAGAGAAAATTATTAATGGCAATATAAACGAAAAAGATAATTATATATGACTTATAAATATTTGAAAAAAAAAATAGTATTTAGTAAGATATATTTGATTTGTCAATTTTTTCGGAAGCAATCTACAAGTACATAGAACTCAAATTCCTAATGTATAATCTTTTAGTTACCCTAAAAATAAATCATTCAAACTAATATTCAAAATATTATTCTACTTAATATTTAATAAAAAAAATATATGGTCATGATTAAAGACTCCGGTTATATAGACCCACCATATCTTATTATTATTTATTACATAAAAAAACATTATCCAAAAACGAGTAATTATTATTTATTACATTAAAAAATTCTTTTCAAAAACGATTATTAAATTAAATAATTGATTTTCTACGAAATTCCTGTATATTTGCATGGTAACAAACGGCCCGTCAGCGGACAACGCGCACATCTCAAAAATCCTTCGGCCTCAAGGAAGAGTGGTTAATTTTTAAATGAAAATGAAAAATATTTTCATAAATTTCCAAGAAGCTAGCGACTGATTGAACTTTTCTAAATAATCTCGTGATTAACTCACTAGTGACGTTGTTAACGTCTAATCTGTGTGCCACGTGTGAAAATCGAACGTCAACACAAACGTGTCCGTCTCATTGTTTTTCCATTTTTAATATGCTCCCAAAAGTCGTGAGGAATAATTATAACTAAATATATTAAACTCCCGCCTCAGCCCTCCGATTCAAAGTCGCCAATTGGCAATGGATATTTTCATTTTTGTGGTGGAAAATGCTGCTATTTCCAAATGCATTTGACTAATGATTTTTTTTTTTTTTTAGGAATTGTTCAATTATATTTTATCTATTTTTCATACATTATTATTTCAAGAATCTTTGTGTGATGCATAATGGAATGTAAATCAAATCAGACGAGATTTTTTTCGCGTGATGTAAAATATGGTTATAGATCAAATTAATTTATTGAGTTTTGAGATTTTTCAAACTTAATCAATTAGTTGTATTTTTGAGAGTTCATAAACTTAATCAATTAGCGTTCGATTTATTCGTGTTTGATGGAATTGTAACTCGTTTTGAGCTCCACTAGAGTAAGAGACTAAACTAAAGCTTTAATTCTTACAAGTGATAAATAACTTTTCAAACAAATATATGAGTAGTCTAACAATAAGATGATCGATCCATCATATTTTTTTAATAAAATTTTGTTTCATAATTTTTTTATACTATGATAATTTAGTTTGATCGTACGTATATTATTATTTGTGACTAATTTTACTAATCATGTCTCCAGTAGGACACACATAATTTTTTACAAAATTACATATTTTTGTTCATATTATTTTTTATATATATAATATTTTAATTTGATTGTACCCATATATGATAAGAAGAAATATAGTTGTTTAACCATTAAACGGACAAAAACAACATTATTTTAAAACCCTTCCACTAATTAAAAATTACTCCACTATTATAAACATTATTTAATAGATGAATTTTATCATTCGTTTCCTAAAATATAAAAAAAATAGAAAAGAAAAAGAAAAACGCGCGTACGCACACATAAACCACCGAGTGAAAGGCTATCAATCAAGTCAAGTCTCCCTACCCAACCACTTCCCCTTTATAAATATAGACCATACGCTATTACATTTCTTCTCAAGTTCTCACCTCAAAACTTCCAAGTCCCAAAAACCACACATAAGAGAAAAAAATCAAACATAACTCCCNTAGCTTTTCTGACTCGGTCATAGACCGAGCCCTCGAGCTAGCCGAGCCGGTTATCTCCAAATGGGACCCTGACACCACTACCTACGCTCGAGTCACTTCTCTCTTCTACGAGAGCCGCCGTGAGGCTCGGGACTTCATCTCAACCGTAAACAACCTTCAAAAGGCGATGCATTTCGTCTCCACCGAGGGCTCGGGCTCGGACAAACTGGCTCGAGCCCAAGCCCTGATGCAGGTCGCCGTGAAGCGACTTCAGAAGGAGTTCTACCAGATACTGTCGATGAACCGGGCCCACCTTGACCCAGAGTCCGTCTCGACTCGATCCTCTCGCACATCGACTGGGTCGTCGTCTTCGCTGTACGACGAAGACGACGAGACCCGAGCCGCAGACGAGTCCTCGGTCTCTGAGGCCGAGGACGCGTCCCTGGCGGCCATGTCGGACCTCCGGCTCATAGCCGAGTGCATGATCTCGTCGGGTTACGCTAAAGAATGCCTCAAAATCTATATCGTGATCCGAAAATCGATCGTCGACGAGGGGATTTACAAGCTCGGAGTCGAGAAGACGAGCTCCTCCCAAATCCACAAGGCGAGTTGGGAGGCCGTCGAATGGCGCGTCGACACGTGGCTTAACGCAGTCCGCGCCGCAGTCAAGACGCTCTTCAACGGCGAGCGGATCCTCTGCGATCACGTCTTCGCGGGGCACGACTCGCTCCGCGAGTCGTGCTTCGCTGACGTCACCCGGGAAGGCGCGGGAGTTTTGTTCGCCTTCCCGGAGGCCGTGGCGAAGCACGCCCGAAGGGTGCCGGAGATGATTTTCCGGCTCCTCGACATGTACGGAGCCATCGCCGATCGTTGGCCGGAAATCGAGTCGATCTTCTCCGACGAGGCGGCGGCCGGGGTCCGGGCGCAGGCGGCGAGCGCGCTCGCGCGGCTCGCCGAGGCCGTCCGTGCGGTGCTCCACGACTTTGAGACGGCGGTGCTCAAGGATCCGTCGAAGTCGCCGGTCGCCGGCGCCGGAATCCACGATCTCACGGTGGACGCGATGGCTTACGTGGCGAACCTCGCCGACTACAGCGGCGCGCTGTCGGAAATACTGGCGGAGGCGCCGCCGGCGGCGGCGAAGAACAAGCTGCCGGAGTCATACTTCGGTTTCTCCGACTCCGACGACTCTCCGGCGCCGGCGGTCTCTCTTAAAATGGCCTGGCTTATCCTCGTCCTCTTATGCAAGCTCGACACGAAGGCCAAGCACTACAAAGACATTTCACTGTCGTACCTTTTCCTAGCGAACAATCTCCAATACGTCGTCGGAAAGGTGAGGACGTCAAACCTAAAATACCTCCTCGGCGACGATTGGCTGGCGAGGCACGAGTCAAAGGTCAAACAGTTCGCGGCGAGGTACGAGCGGCTGGGATGGGGACACGTCATCGATTCCCTCCCTTCAGATCCGACGGCGGCGGACACGCCAGCAAAAGCCAAGGAGACATTCAAGAAGTTCAACGCGGCGTTTGACCAGGCGTGCAGGAAGCAGGGTGTGTGCGTCGTACCGGATAACAAACTCCGGGACCACATCAAAGTATCGATCGCGAGAAAGATATTTAGATTATATCGCGAGTTTTACAACGCGCACAAGGAGAAAATGGAGAGGGAGAGATTTTCTGCCTCGGTTGTGAGATACGCGCCAGAGGATGTGGGCCACCACCTGTCGGATCTGTTTTTTGGGCACTTCGAGTCGTGGGGCGCTTCGTCAGTTGAGTCGTCGCCTATGCATTATCGAGCTTAGTCGGGAGAAGGTTCCATTATATCGATGACTGTACAATTTTTTTTATGGTTTGATCCAAATCGGGTGACTGCAGTGCAGTTATCGGTAGTTCTCGGTTGAGAGAAGAGATATTTGAATAAATTTGATGTTTTTTTTTTTTTTTTANAGTGCAAAAAATTTTTGAACAAAAAATTGGCTTTTCACTCATCTTTTTGCAATAGTAAACCCTTGAAAAACCCAGTGTGGATAAAAGTATTTTCATTTTTTTTTTTTCTGCAGTACCTAGCGTTGGTCCGGAGAGGTTCGATTCTATTGATGATTGCAGAGTTTTTATTTATTGTTTGATCTGAATCGGTGACTATAATTGTGTAATTTTCACAATTTTGCCTATATAACTTGAAGTGATGAGTAACGTCATCTTTTGGATTATTACAAATTATGTTGATAGCTGATACAACGTTAGATTAATCAAAATTTTTGAACAAAAAGTAAGTAATTGATTAATAAAATATCATAACGCTATTTATTTTGGTTTGTTTCATGAAGTATGTTTTTTTTAGAAATCCAATCAATAATGACCTCTTAAATTTGATTTTCTGTAATATAAGAAATTATTGGTCTGTGGAGGAACGGAGGTCCACAAATGGCACTTTCACTGTGCGCTTACAATAAGAAGGTTTAGTTTTTTCAAGTCACGTGAAAAAGGTTGGAAAATAAAGGAGGAGAAGAATATGAAAGGGAGAATAAGAATACGAATCAAGAAAAACCCAAGCATTTAGGAGATCTCTTATTATTGAAACTAGAGTTTGTAAATAAAGCGAGTCGCTTAACTAATAAAAAGAAGAATAAGAATGCAAATCAACAACAGTCCCAAAATTAGGAGATCCCATTGCATTCAAAACTACAATCACGAAGGAAATGAGTCGCTCGTGAGATCGACTTAACTATTTTATTAAACGAGCCGAGTTCGAGTTCATTTAAAACTCGTTTAAGCTCAATTCATTAAGTTAGAAATAGTGACTTTTATGTATTTTTTTTAAAATTTTTTGTTTTGACTCCACTCGTTAATATTTATAAAGAAGTCAAATATAAAGTCATTTATCAACTCGATTGAGCATGATAAAGGCTCGATTATCAATAGTTTGGGCTCATATCGACTTGTTTACGCCTATATTGAAAACATACAATTCGTACAGAGATTTTATTGCGTAAGATGATTATAAGATTAAAAATATTTTTGAGTTTGAATGATAGAACGAGACATGATATTAATTAATTTGCAGTTATATTAGAAAACGACGATGCAAAAGTCTACTGTTATATGTTTATTTTTTGAAAAATTCAATAAAATATGTACACGTAAATATTCTTCTCCCTCCCATATTATAATTTGACCAAGTCAAATTATTGTTGCTTACATCCACCTAAATTCTTCATTCAACTTTTATTTATTTAGCTAATTATTTATTTCCATTTTTTTATGTTTTCATTCTACCATACTAGAACCTTCACTATATGATGTATCTATAGCTGGTCGTAGTTATATATAGCTTCCTTTGATTCACCGATATTTATAATGGTCAAACAAACACATTTGATAATTGAATGATATTTAGTTGACCCTGTTACAACTTACAATGAACGGTGCATTTGATAATTGGATGATACTAACATAACACCAATTTTTGTTTTTACTTAAAGACGGTCATTCGTTTTATTTTTATTAATATATATATATATATATATATATATATATATATATTGTAAAATATTTTATTATTATTAATGTCGTTTAGTTTTTTATAGTATCACATTTCATATTGAACATATACATTTGCTTATAAAGTATATATATGTGTTTAACCGTTAAACCTTATAATAATATTACTATTAAAATAAATAGTTTGGTCGAGCGTGCTGCAATGAACGATATAGCTTAAATTTTGCTATAAGAACAATTTAACCACTATACGAAATAATCTGTTATACTTTTAAATAAAAAAATACATAGTTAAATTGTACAATATCATATTTTTATATTATTATATAAATATGATATTTGATATTGAAAAATTGAATCTATTGAAAATATAGATGTGTCAGGTTACTTTGATTATATCACATCTCAATCAAAAATATTACTGTGTCATTGTCTAATCGTTAATCAATCATACTTTATTACAAAAAATTATATTTATATTATAACATGCCATACATTTACATCTATTGTATTTAAAATATATTATTTGAAATACAAAAATAGATATTATGCAGACTTACCTAAGAACAACCCCACCCAACATATGCTTACTTCCACTTAAAAGACTTGAGACAATTAATTTTTCTAGTTTGTTATTGCAAAATTCCCAATTCTTTTTCCTAGACTTTGACTATAAATCAGACTGTGAATATATCAATATTCTCTTTCCCTCAACTCTATTAACGGACCACCTATAATTTTATTTTTCTCAGTCAATCTTAGAAATTAAATTTCCACATATGATTTAATATCTTAAAATCAACTTGAATTGCTTCATCCAAAAGCAATATACAATAATGTTGTATTCACCAGCAAAGAGAGACCAAAAAATTTTTAATAATGTGAGGATATACAGACCACACACTCCCAGTTATGCCCTTCACTGATTGTTTGGAAAATCAAGATTTCTTTTCTAAAGTCAAATTACTCAATTTTTTCTTACCATAAAATTAGAGATTTTATGTTTTTCTTCGTTGGATCAATACACACACCCACGTGGGTGTATTGATCAAATGGTGACAAAACCGATAATTTCACTGCAATCACGTTCACCAATAAGGCAAAATCTATAGAAAAATAATATATTAATAGGAATATTTCAACAATTTGATACAAGACCACATACTCCCAGTTATTTCCGGCAGTCAATATTGGAAAATAAGATTCCATCCCTTTTTCTTAAAGAAAATTAAGATTCCATCATTTTTTAGAAAAAGTCGTGGAGAAACTTGTGCGATTGGTGGAAAATGTAAACGATGTGATTGGTGGAAAAAGTAAATGCAACACGATTTATCTCATAATAATTGATAGTTAAAAGATTGTATGTAAATGAATACCAATAAGTTTTGATATGGGTGAAAGACTTAATGGAGGAATCAGGCTGTAAATTAATGCAATCGTTTAGGAAAAAAAAAATAAAAAAAATAAATAAATAAATACCAATAAATTTTACAGAGAAACGAATGTAATGCTTCATTTTTTTTATTTTTTACTTTTTCAAATTGTGTTGATAAAATGAAGGTGAAAAAAAATAAAATATTTCCGTTTATATCAATTGCATTCTAAACATTCTTTTTTTCTAAAAATGAAAAATATATTAGGAAGAAAAAAAAAAGAAAAAGAAAAAAAAACATGCCCAAGAGAGACATAAATTGTGTCTTACCAGACAATATTCAAAACTGGAAACATGAAGCTTATTATAGCACAGCACATTATGACATTATACACACGACACACTTTAACTAACTGTGTTCGAAAACAACAAATTCGTCCCGTGGTATTTTCTTTTTCGATTCTTTTGAAAATTATTCGGTAATTACAAACCCGAAACAAGTGGTATTGGTAAATAGTAAATACAATATTGTTTTTGTTCATTTCTTCGAAGAAATTAAGAAATTGGTAAATCAGCTGGCCTTTGAATATTTTGCCAACCTGTGCAGTGTTGTAGAAAATGCTTGAGCTCATCAGTAGGAGCCTCGACTGTCCACGTCTCGTAATATTCGCTCGGGTGGAAAATGCAAGTCTCAGTCGAAAGGGACATTAAGCCGTGTTGGGTCCCACTTACGAATAAGTCGCCTTCCGATTTAACGATGCCAGTACACTCGGAATCCTTGTCAGAAGCCTGCACGGTAAAATAGCTTAAAAATGTCGATTTAAGGATTTCATAACACTTTTTTTTTTTTTTTGGAAACGATAGATATCTTATTAAACAAAAAAATCATAGACTAGAAAAATGGCTAGAGCTAGGAATTCAAGAAAAAAAGTTAAAACTGCAATGTGTTGCATAAGGCTATGTTTGGTAAGCATATAAGCTAGTTTATGACTTATTTGATTAACTTATAAGCTTCTTGTATTAAAATAAGCTTGGTTTGGTATGATGGGCTTTTTTAAAAAGCTTGAGCTTATCTCATGCTTCATAAGCCCATTGAAAATTTTATTTCAGCTAGCTTGTCAACTAAATTTACTAAACACTTTTATTGTATAAGCTAGTTTCCAGCCATAAGTCATAAGCTACCAGCTATAAGCTCAAAATTCACTTAAAAGTCATAAGTCATAAGCTATCAGCTATAAGTTCAAAATTCACTTAAAAGCTATAAGCTAGGCTAGCCTAAAACTACTTAAAAAAATACCAACTCCGGTATGGAAGGATTTGGATTTGAAGAGAGTTTACAAAGAGATAAATTTAAACGAGTCTTTATTGAAATATTGGCGATTCACCGTCAATTATGTATAAAATAGCTTAAAACGTCGATTTAAGGATATCACACCCCAATGTTAAATGAACCTCATTGCTATGGATTCTAAACTTCAAATTCATCAAGTGCTCATTTAAACAGATAAAATGCACCTAAACATGGAGTATATAGGAACAAACACCAAAATGTACAAGAAAAGTGAAAATCAAGTGAGTGAAAAATTTAGGGATCTTTTCGTATTATATACCGAAACACATAATAATACCTTTTCCGTGTAATACTTAAAGGCCACCTTCTTTTGGCCCGCTTCATATATGTTGCACTGTGAATATATCTGTATCGGCAAAAAAACAGAACCCTTAAGAAATCAAACAGAGTGCATATAGAAATATATTATTAATTCAGGCTGGCTGGAAAACTATGGCATTATTATAGCATCACCTGTGACTCGACACTGGCACAAACAGCATAAATTCCCCAATTTCGAGTGTAGTTATTATACAAATGTACTTTCCCGAATCTGACCCTCGGTTGCCTCTGCCGAGTCCCGTCAAAAAAACAATGGTGAATTGTTAGACGCATGCATCTATCACCTGTGTGCGAAGGGTCGGCTCCAATAAGCATTGTTTTGTCATGGTTCGCAAAGTAACACCTATTAAATCAAACAGCAAAAATACCAAAATCACAATTGTAATTGGCTTAGAAAATTCGAAGTCTTATTAAGCTGTGAAAAGAATAGTAGTTTTGTAATCATAATCAGAATTAAAAAGTCGTAAAAAAATTATGGCCTTTTATATCGGGAGGTTTTGAGATAAAACAGCTGGATCTCCTTACTTTCTTAAAGAAACAACATATAAGCTCCAAAACAGTTCATACCTTCATCCTATAAAATCACCTTTTTCGTCCAAAATAATAATTTCATTAATTAGTTCTAGGTGAGATTAGTTCCTTTTAACTCGTTTTTACCTCCCAATTTGATGAGATAATTCCATCTCGATGTTGAAAGTAATGTAAATAAGGGCACAAGAAGGTACAAATAAAATGCATTTCCTTACCTCTGAAAAATGGGTGAAGGGAGCATTTTTTATTTAAGAATATTATTATTATTATTATTGATATAGGGAAATTCTCACATGCCCACCGTAGGCATGTGAGCATTTCCCGATTGATATATTAAAGTTCAAGGAAAAAAAAAATGGAAAATTTTCAAAAGTAAGAGCCAACCGAGAAATGGTAATATCTGTGCTCCCTCGAGTGATATCAATCAGCCCATCATCGTAATCGCTTAGGCTGCAACGATCTATCCATATATGACTCGAATTCGGTTTTATTTGGATGCCATCAACATCGTGTCCTCTACCCCCTTCGAAAATTAAATTGCAGATAATCACATGTTCACACTCTTTCAGCCTCAGACCTTTCCCGGTGAGTTTGACCCTTTGACCACGCCCGTCAATTGTCTTGTAAGAGGAAACGCTAAGGTAAGACGAGAGCTCAATGGTGCCCGAAACATCAAATATGATCCACAGAGGTTCATTTTTACGGCACGCATCACGAAGAGAGCCCGGCCCATCATCTGGAAATAGATAGAGCAAGGTCAGTAAATTGTAAATTGCAAGACCAATTGAAGAAAATTAAAAAGAAAATCAGAACTATTAAACGCGGTCTTACTTTCAAGGGAGCACCAAAATACCCAATTTAAGGGTGAATTTTATCCTACGTTTTAACCGTCGGATCAACACACACCCACATGTGTTGTGTGTGTGTGTGATCCAAAAAACTCATGTGAGAGCAATTTGCCCAATTTGAGAGGTGCTTGATCATAAATTTGGAGTCTTTGATAAGTGAATGCTTATTTCAAGAAACACTAATGGGGGATCAACAAGCTCGGATTTCTTTTACATGAATATACCGTATTATTTTTCAATATAAAGACACTTCCTAGCATTGGTGCGTGATATCAAAACACGTAATATTTTGCGACTCCAAAAAAGGAAGGTTTTAATTTCAAGAGTTGCATTTGAAATATTCAAGACATCAATTGAATGCCAACCACCACAACGCAAACTAGAAAGCCAAAATGGCCTCGTTTAACAATTACTTGATAAATTCGAAAAGCAGCTCTCTCTTTCTTACCAGGCACAATGCTAAACAATAAATTCGAATCATTTGCTTTCATGATCATTATGACATCCAAGATTACAAGAAATCGCAACACACAATAATTTCTCCGGACAATTAACCACATATAAACTCGTCCTCCAACCAGAACTCACAANAACCAGGTTTAACTAAATACAAATTCCAACAGTGAACTTTCTGATTAAAATACATAAAGTAGCAAATTTATGATCAAAAAACATAAACCAAATATTTTTGCCAGACAAACTAACCATGTAAACTCGTCCTCCAACCAGAATTCACAAAGTAAAAACACAAATGAATGAAAAATGCACAACAAAATCAACCAAATTTAACTAAAATACAACGCCCAACAGCAAAACTTCCAGATCAGGATACATAAGGCAAAAAACTTTATGGTTAAAATACATGAAGCAAATAACTTCGCTGGACAATTGACCATGCAAACTCATCATCCAACAGAACCCACAAAGTAAAAACTCGAAGAAATGAAAAATGCACAACAAAATCAACCACATTTAACTAAATACAAAAGCTAACAGCAAAAGTTTCATATTAGAACACATAAAGCAGCATCATTGTGATTAAAATACATGAAGGGAATAATTTCACTGGACAATTAACCTAGTAAACTCGTCCTCCAACAGAACCCACAAACTAAAAACACGAAGGAATGAAAACTGCACAAAAATCAACACATTTAACTAAATACAAAGTTCAACAGCAAGACTTTCAGATTAAAATGCATAAAGCAGCAAACTTTGTGATTAAAGTATATAAAGCAAATAATTTCGCTGGACAATTAACCAGTAAACTCGTCCTCCAACCAGAACCCACAAAGTAAAAGCACAAAGAAAATAAAAATGCACAACAAAATCAACCACATTTAACTAAATACAAAGGCCAACAGCAAAACTTCCAAATTAAAATCCATAAAGCAGCAAACTCTATGATTAAAATACATAAAGCGAATAAATAATTTCGCAGAACACTTAACCAGTAAACTCGTCCTCCAACCAGAACCCACAAAGTAAAACACAAAGAAATGAAAAATGCAAAAGAAAATCAACCACGTTTAACTAAATACAAAGGCCAACAGCAAGACTTTCAGATCAAAACACATAAAGCAGCAAAGTTTATGAATTTTTTCCTCACCGGCCAGCGTGGTGACACAATAAACGGCTCCGTTTAGGCCGCCGACGGCGAAACGCCCGAAGCCCTCAGCTTGCCCAGCCAGGGCCCGTAAGCAGGAATCCACATGTCCATAAGGCAAGCGCAGGCCCATGTCGGGATTCGCAATCGGGGTTGAAATTGCCGGAGCTGAATTTACAGGTTGTTGCCCGTGATTGTACGGATGAGGACGATTTGTCTGGTGTCGGTGGCCAGGGTTTGAGTGACGCCCATGGTGATTACCCATTTTTTATTTTTCAATTGAATTTGGAACTGTTGAATTTCTGTTTTCCCTAAATCAAGAAAAGATAAAATAAACCGTGCGTGTCCCAAAAATCTCTCGAATTAATTAATCAAGAAAATATATAACACGTGTTATTAATTTTCTACAGAAAAAGATAAAACATAAAAAATAAGTGAATTAATTAATTCAAAAATCTTGTTCTTCTCCTTCTCACTCTTTCACCCATAGTCGACATGAACATAATTCAATTACATCTCATCATTTATAAGTCGACATGAAGGAATGTTGCCAGGGATTTGTGGTATTCTAGCATGTTCCCTATACCGTTTTAATGTTCTCTACGAACGCAGGATGAAGGTTGCACCTAATCTTCATTCAATCAATCTATAAGAATGTTTACTTGTATTTGGTATCTTTTGCCTTTTCATTTCAACAAATGTGAAATTTGTGACCCTTTCTGGTGACCTTTCTTCACAATTCTTGTAATTTATGGTATTGTCATTTTCATTTTGATCATATTTAGGGGGATTTGGGGACTGAATGGTTTGAGAAGAACAACGAGGAAGAAAAGAGGGCATAGAGACTTCTTGGTAGGGCCGTGGTCAGAGGGGCATATGAGAATTTAGGGATCGATCGAATTTCAGCATTTGGGTGACTGATGGGTTTGAGAAGAACAACGGGGAAGGAAAGAAGAAGAAGAAGAAGAAAAAGAAGAAGAAGAAGAGTCATTTCTCTTCTTTTATATTTTTCTTTATCAAATAAAAATAAATTACACATGTCTTGTATTTTAATACATGTTTGTGCTGCATAAAAGTCATGTAGGCGGATGACTTCATAAGAAAAATAAGGACTCAATAGAAAAACCATGTCATACTAATAGTCATTCTGAACCTGATCACAAAATTTAGCATTTATCAAAAAATGTGCTGACTAAATTGGTATTATAGAACACCTTTTAATAGTCTATGCAGGTCAAAACCCATAAGTTATGCTTGGATATAAGATTTATTGATTTTGTTTGGATTTTTTAGTTTGATTTGAGGAATTTGAAAAAATATAGTATGACTAGTTGTTAGTGAGATTTTGAGTTTATATTAAAATAATATTTAAAATTAAATAATTAAAATTGACTTGATATAAAAGTAAGAAAGAGATGATGTGAAGTGTTATTATTTAAAATTATGTGAGTAAATGAATAGTATATTAAAGATGGTGATGTTGAGTTAAAAAATAATTGATTAAAAATGATTATTTTTCTTAAAAAATATATTGTATCCAAACATCTTCTAGCATTTTCCACATAGTTCCACTTTGATTTAATTGATAAATATATTTTAAAACAACTATGACTTAACACAATAAAAAAAAACACACATTTCCTCAAATCAACAAATTCATTTGTTGTTATATTCACTACTCAACAACTCACAATAAACAGGGAAAAAAGTCTTAAAAATGACAAAACTTCCAGTAATTTTTATATCACACAGCACTTCAAAGTCTAACCATCTGCAAATACCCATCGTTAAAAATGGGCACATAAAATAAAATAATAACACAGATAAAAATGGGCACATAAAATAAAATAATAACACAGATAATATAACATGGTGGGCCCGGCGGCGTCAACATGCTTTCCCCACCCATCGTTATTATATAAAACCATTTTCCACCACCACCACTCCTCCACCGCCGTTGGCTGCTTTTCTCCACCGCACATGTAGAAATCACATCAACATCCTCATCGAACCGCTCAAAAAGAAGGCGAAGATAATGTTTCTTCATTCGTAAATTCGAAAAAATTAAGGGAGACGATTTTCTCACCATGGCTTCGATTCACGGAGGAGGTAATTTTTTATCTTCTTTTNGCGCCGATCTGTGTGTTTTTCCAGCTTAATTTTCCGCTCCACCAGCTGAATCGCAATTTTTGTGTGTGCGTGTGTGTTTGTTTTTGACGATGGTGGATTTTTGTTGAGCAGGCGAGAGAGATCTCGAGATGGGCGTGAGCATCGAGCCGCCGTCACCTTCCCCGTCTCCGTCGCCGCGCGCTCCGGCGCTGGTGGTGTCGAACTCAAACAAATCGCTGGCGTCCTCGAACTCCGGCAAGGCCTTGGTGGTGTCGACCTCCGGGAAGGCCCTGGTGGTCTCCAACTCCGGCAAGAGAATCGACCAGTCGGGGAAGAAGAAGTACGTGAAGCAGGTGACGGGCCGGCACAACGACACGGAGCTCCACCTGGCGGCGCAGAAGGGTGACGTGGCCGCCGTGCGGCAGATATTGGGGGAAATCAACGAGCAGATGCTTCAGACTTTGAGAGGATCGGATTTCGATGCTGAGGTTGCCGAAATTAGGGCAGCTGTCGTGAACGAGGTGAACGAGTTGGGAGAGACTGCCCTTTTCACGGCAGCCGAGAAAGGGTTCATTGATGTGGTGAAGGAGCTGTTGCCTTACACCACAAAAGAAGGGATTAGGACGAAGAACAAATCCGGTTTCGACCCGCTGCATATTGCCGCCAGTCGAGGCCATCAAGGTAATTGAATCGATTTATCTGCTAGCTTCAAGGTTTTTCTGATTTGAAATGTTACATAGGAGGAGTTCACCTTATCAATCGTTTCGTATTTGCTTATGCATCTTGTGCCTCTATCTGCAAGTGAGTAATAATATGTCGGGATTGAGGGAAAAAATAAGTTAGTTCTGTTTTTTAAGCTAGTAGTTGATTCATACTGGTTTCGACCCGCTGCATATTGCCGCCAGTCGAGGCAATCAGGCTAACTGAACCTGTTTATCTGCTAGCTACAAGGTTTCTGATTTGAAATATTACATGGAGTTTACCTTATCAATTGTTTTGTATTTGCTTATGCTACTTGTGTCTCTTTCTGCAAGTGAGTAATAATATGTGGGGATTGAGGGAAAACGAAGTTTAGTTCTGTTTTTAAGGTCGCAGGTCCGGGCATACTTAGCTAGCTGATGATTTCTGGTTTAGTTTGATGGCCATCAAATTGTTGCTGAATGGCGTTATGATCATGACATGTTTTTTATCAGCTGAGATTATTTTTGAATGTTAGCATATATTTAGGATCACATTCTTGATTTAGCATTCCTTATATCAACCTAAAAGTTATTTCTTTTTCGTTTCAATAGAAATTGTCGAGATACTGTTAGAGCACGACCCAGGGCTAAGCAAAACAGTCGGCCAATCAAACGCGACCCCTCTCATATCTGCAGCCACAAAAGGACACCTGGCAGTTGTCAATGTATTGCTTGCCAAAGACCCGAGCCTGCTCGAGATACCGAGATCCAACGGTAAAAACGCGCTGCATTTATCTGCCCGGCAGGGCCACGCTGACGTCGTAAGAACATTGCTGGAGAAGGATCCTCAGCTGGCCAGAAGAATGGACAAGAAAGGCCAAACGGCTCTCCACATGGCTGTCAAGGGTGTTAATTGTGCGGTGGTGAAGTTGCTTCTGCAGGCAGATGCCGCCATTGTGATGCTCCCAGACAAATTCGGCAACACCGCTTTGCACATAGCTACAAGGAAAAAGCGTTTTGAGGTATGTTATGTTATTATTATGCTCCCATTTATGAGAAATCTGCACCATGTGATTGATATCTGTTTCTTATCAAGTCTGTTAACAACTTCCTCGTGTTATACCTGATTGTGTTCTAGGCACCAGCATATTAATGAACTCAACTCGAGTTTCAAATAAAAGTAAACTCTAAAAAAAAAAAGTAGTATAATAAAGATCCAAAAGAACACATTACAACTAAACTAATTTAGTTAAAAACATAAAAGAAGGAATACCAAATGAAACTAAAAAATTAAAATCCTCAAGAAAACTATAAAAAATGTTGCCCTAAAATTCTAAAAACCCTCAAACCAAAAATATGAGTTTTTGTGGTTTTGACTTACTAGATACTTTTTTTACACCTTTTTAACTCGAAATTCAACTCAACTTTATTCAACTTAATTCTCCTCTCCCCAGTATAATTAAATAATATCTATTGATCATTCTCAAACACCACTTCAACTTCACCAGTATTATTAATATCAATATTATACGGCGTTGTTATATACAATTACAACCCTTATTCTTTTCTCACAAGCTGTTTACTATGGACACATCTATCCACGACTTAAGTTCAACAGGAAGCATGAGGTTTGATATTCTCTGCTTGCTACTTCATTTAACTTAAAACTTGTAGCTTGTTCGAAAATTGTCAATTTATACTTACATATACGCAATATAATGGGAATTTTGACATTTATCCACTTTATTATAATATATGATTTAGTTTTATCACATTAGTTAGTGTCCATTGCAAATGGAGCTGGAAGAGTCATTGTTGACAATTCTTCTGGTATAGTGCTAATAATGGACTAGATCAAAATGACTCAATTAAATTCTAGTGCTTTTTCTATTAGTGAAGTTTCTAGAAAAAAAAAAATATATATCAAACGGCGCAATGCACCTTGGGTCGCTACGGAAACAGCCTCCTTGTGTAATTACAAGGGTAAGGTCTGCGTACAACTGACCCCCCAAACCCCAACCTGTTGAGAATATACTGGGTATGTTGTTGGTGTTACTGTTGTTGTAATGTCTATTGATCATTCTCACACACCACTTCAAACTGTAATTTACTATTCATTCACTCACATATTTTTAACTACCAATCATCAAATAACCTTTCTCATATTTTTACATCACATCAACTTTAGTCATTATATTTTTAATATTATTTATATACAAACCCAATCCCCACTTAATCCTCCCTTCAATCGTTTTTTTTAATCAAAATTAACTCACTTTATCCAATAAACCCAATCAAAACCTGAAAACACTTTGGTCCACCCTTCCAGATCGTGAACGAGCTCCTCATGCTCCGCGACACCAACGTGAACGCCCTGAACCGCGACCACAAAACCGCCCTCGACATCGCCGAGTCCCTCCCCTTATCTGAAGAAATCGTCGACATCAAGGAGTGCCTCACCCGCTACGGCGCGGTCCGCGCCAACGAGCTCAACCAACCGCGCGACGAGCTCCGCAAGACCGTCTCCGAGATCAAGAAAGACGTCCACACCCAGCTCGAGCAAGCCCGCAAGACGAACCGCAACGTGAACGGCATCGCCAAGGAGCTCCGCAAGCTCCACCGCGAGGGCATCAACAACGCCACCAACTCCGTCACGGTCGTGGCCGTCCTCTTCGCCACCGTGGCGTTCGCCGCCATCTTCACCGTCCCCGGCGGCGACGACGACAACGGCGTGGCCGTGGTTGTCCACACCTCGCCGTTCAAGGTCTTCTTCATCTCGAACGCGGTGGCGCTATTCACCTCGTTGGCGGTGGTGGTGGTGCAAATCACGGTGGTTAGGGGGGAGATAAGGTCGGAGAGGCGGGTGGTGGAGGTGATAAACAAGTTGATGTGGCTTGCGTCGGTTTGCACGACGGTGGCGTTCGTGTCGTCGTCGTATATAGTGGTGGGGAGGCACAACCGGTGGGCCGCGGTGATGGTGACGGTGATCGGTGGGGTGACGATGGCGGGAGTTTTGAGCGCGATGACGTATTACGTGGTGAAGTCGAGGAGGATAAGGAGGGTGAGGAAGAGGGAGAAGTTCTCGAGGAGTGGGGGGAGCTCGTGGCACCACTCGGACACCGATTCCGAGGTGAATCCCATCTATGCCATATGAATGAAGGTTTTTTTTATTATTATTATTATTATTATTATTATTATTATTATTATTATTATTATTATTACTATTATTATTTATTGTCTTTGGAGGAGGGGAGGGGCCGTGTTGCGGTTGGTTCCGAGGGCGAATTTCGGTTATGTGGTGTTGTATTTTCTGGTGATGGGATCTGAGGTTGTTGGGGGGAATGAAATTGTTTGTTCCAAGGCTCTTTGGGACTCTATTTTATGTGGTGTAACGTGTAAAGAACGAATTCCGGAATCCGGGTATGTGGTGTTGTTTTTTTCTTGGTAATGGGATCTGAGTTTTTAGGGGAAGCTGATGAATGAAAATGTTGTTGTCTCGGGTTTCTGTCAGCTGGGAAAAGAATTGCTCTTCCTGTTGTTTATGGATGGATTTAGGAAACTGCTGTTCTGTTTTAGTTGATGTTGTTGTTGTTGGTTCTTTAGTTGATTAGTTTTTTCGGTTGGAAAAATGTTGTCTTGTCGTGTTAATTCGCTCACCTTCTCCGCTTCACGTACTCTGCACTCTGCAGTCCATTTAGTCTACTCGTTTTGGGGGAGAAAGATGAAGTACAAAGGGAAAAGGGTGAAAGGTAAAGGTAAAAGGTTTTTAATCAAGGATCTCTATTTAAATGTAGTATGTATGATTTTTAATAGTACTACGTGTGTATTTTTTTTTCATGTAGTATAAATGGTCGATCAATGCAATGGTCAAATTAACTCATTCAATAATTCAACTATTAGCCAATTGGCAAGACGAGTATTTAACACCGATTGATATGTGAATTACAAAATTCGTTTTACATACATATTATGACAAAATGCACAACCTAATAAAACAAAATGTAACATGGTGACTCATAATGTCATCCTTTTTGTGTGGTTCATTTTTTTTTTTTTTTATTCGGAGGCAATTGACCTCTTTTCGAATATCAAGATTAAACAAAAACAGTCAATACGCGCTGTGCAAAAACCCCACCATTTGAAACCATACATTAAACTACAAGAAGCTGTCCTTTTTACATGACTCATAATGTCCAACACTTTAACTACAATACAATTTTGGTGTCAAATGGTAGGCCAATCTATTTAAAATCTTGTGGCCCACCCCACGAGGGATAAAACTTAAACCCCACCATTTTAGCAGGCGGGCTTGACCTTGACTTGCTCCTTGGTTTACTTTTGGAGTCAACCTTTTGCTTTTGTATAATACTAGTAAAGTGCACGTGCGATGCACGTGGCGACGAATGCTTTTTACTGATTAAATTTAGTAAGATAAATTAATTAATTTATTACACATATGACTGCAGGAACAAAATAAAATGTAGAATAAATTAACTTTTCATGCATTTTATTTTAAATATAAAAATGTTGTCGTAATATAAAAAGATTTAAATATCATATTACAACTCCAACAAAAATATATGAAAAATGAGTTCCTAACGAAAAAACAATAAATGACTAAATACAGAAATGCTATGGAGCCATCGGATGGTTCCCTTATGGAGCCATCCATAACGTTAGGTATTGACACGTGTCCAATGTGCATTTATTACAGAACACGTGTCAATACACCATTTGTGGATAACTATGGATGGCTCCATAAGCCGAGCCATCCGATGGCTCCATAGCAAAACCGTGACTAAATAAAGACATAATGTATATTATAGATGCATGAGTTCTTTTATTTATTTATGTTAGATTCAAGAGTCATTTTCTTTTATTTTGGTTTTGATGTTCTCATAAGAAACATTCATACTCGTTGAATTCTAATACATCAATAGTATTACAAAATTCTTCTTAATTAATTTTGTAAAACGTCTGTTTTATTCAACACTTAGAAATACTTTAGCCAAATATATAGTCAAACTTTATGATTGTATGATCATTATAAGGTATTTCTACTAATAGTTCATAAGTATCTCTATGAAATAAACAATTGTATCATTAAATTTCTTGATATTTGTGTCATTAAAATTATTGATATTTCTTTTAATCAATGTATAAACTACTACATTTCTCTCTCTCTCTTTCTCTCTCCCTCTCTCTCTCTCTCCACATAGACAAATTAGTACTTACCCCATGAGGTGGGAACGAATTTCATCTCTAAATAAAATTTGATTTTCCAAAATCATGTACTTCTATGAAGATGCTAAATTATTTTTTTGAAATCATCACACATTACATGAAAATATGTACCCTAAAACAAATGCGCGTATGATCGAGCACAATACACAATTATGATTGTAAATTCTTATCAAAAAGTGACAACTTATTCAACATTCAAAAATATTTTAATCAGTATTAAACATTCCCTTTTCAGTGTTATTAAGTTGGAAGATATCTACCTTCCATATTCTTTCAGATTTGCAATATTTATGTGTCTAATAACATTTATTGCGTTTATTGTCCAATGTTTTGTATCATAACTAATTCTTAAAAAATTCAAGATAAAGATCCTTCATTGATTCTTCAATAATAACAAAACAAAACAAAACAATGAGACAATATTTAGAAGTAAAATATTTCAGATGAGAAGAATTTGAATTATACTATATTATGATACTCTTAGTCATTTGTTAACTTTATTATTATGAAGTCATTATTAAAGTTTGTGGTCCATTTTATGATAATATCGAATCATTATTTATGAGAACTAATTTCTTATAGAGAATATATACTTAAATGCTAGCAACAAAAAAAGCAGTAATTTTAAAATATTTTTGTTTCTTGATATTAGTATTCACACTTTTCTAAAAAAAATTAGAATTTTTCTTTTCCTCATTGCATTACTACTGGTTTACTTGTTTTTTATTTGTTTTATTTTATTCAAAAATAATATTTTATTTCTTGAAAGAATTAGAGAATATTATATGCACTGCATTCTTTTTACGTGTTTGATAGTAATAATATACTTGATAAAAATGTAGTTTTATATTGTTTATAATATTAAAAGGTTTTGAATTTATTTCCAGTTTCTGATAAAATATTAAATAACTAATTCATGTTTATATTCACAAAAAATATTTTTTACAACCATTATGGTGTTCCCTTTCAAGCAATAGTTGAATAATAGTTTAACATACAACTGATTTATTTTTTTGTTTTAATTCACATATTTAATATTGGTAATAGTTGTACAATTACATCTAATTGACTTTTTTCTTAGTATGAATATTTCAAATCTATGTCAGAAAAATATACCACAAGTTTATCTAATATTATTTTATAATTAATAAAATTAATTTAACATGGATCTATAATTATTTTATAAGATTCTTTTAGGTCTATTTATTATTTTAAATTGGTATATATATATATATATATATTATTTTACATCGATATAAATAATTATAATATTTTTATTTTATTTACAAAACATTGGTAAAATCAAATATCATGGGAAAGAAATGATATGATATATTACATATAAAAGGGTAACAAAAAAAAAAAATAAGTATTTTAAAATTAAGAAATTTAATGGTGTAAATTAACTAATTTTTTAACTAAAAAATTATGACTAACATACTGATTTCTAAGACAAAAAAATAAATATATTTTTTATAAATGTGCATCTCAAGTATATTTTACATTTATCATTCGCTAGCTCCAATTGATATATGACATTTATTAATTTTATCATTTTTTTTTATTTTTGAGTGGAATGTCAGTTATAAGCTTTCTCATTGTGTAGTTTTACCTTTTTATTACGTAGAACATCATCTTTACATCTTGTTTAGTATTAATATTACCTTTTCAGTAGAACATCATTCTGGCCTCTTCTTTAATTATTATAATACTAATAAAATATTTAAGGACTTTTCAACTTATATGTATTTTTTAATTACTAATTATCATAAATTAAATGATAATTACATTAAATATGTTATATTTTGTATCATTATTTATAATTTTCAAAACAATTAACTGCACATAATATTATATATAGTGCGAATTTTTTAGTTTGATTTGGAGTCATACTTTTATTACAAGAAAATGATGAAATTCCAATGAAAACATATTACAGCGAAATTTCGAGAACAATTCTAACGAATATTTCAACGTTACAATTTTCGTTTGAATTTTTCAATGAAAATTATAACAAAAATATTTTGTTGCAATCATGTGCAGATCCATGTTTGTCCAATAGTCCCGAAACTGGCATCATCCCAAAACAAATAGCATAAGATATCTAAAACATTATGGGAATATTTTTCGTAATTTTAATCATGTCCTCTATTTAGAAAATAAAATTAAAAGAATAAAGACAAATAATGATTAATTTACAACTCAACCAATTATAATTTAATTCAACTCATAACGTTATTAAAATTATAACATCAATGCGGTATCCCAACTAAATAAAATATGATATCAAATTTTACAATTTTACGCTCTATTTCTCTCTTTTCTTTTTATTCTTGATGATATCTTATTATCTCTCTTTTGCGACATAATTTTTATCTAATTTTAGAAAATATATTTTAAGTCTTTTTTAAGTGTATGTAGAATTCTAGTTATATATTCGTAATTTATACAATCATCTATTATATTGTCGTGTCAACTATACTACAACATAAAATTTTTGTTCATAAAAAGATTTTGAAAAATGTATTATT